TTGTTTATTTTTAGTTTTTTTTGCTTTTTTTTCTCATTCTTTTTCTTTTTTTGCTGCGTTTTTACATCTTTCTATTTGATTGTTGCTTCAGTTTTCAACAAATTACACAACTGCTTGTTGCTAATATTGCTAAAATTTGGATAACAATTTTTGATACAGTTTTTAAGAATAAGTTTTTGACCTCGGTTTCCTCCAGAAATCTATGTTGCTTTACAGAGAGTAATCTGCCGAAACAACGACAACAGCAAAAACAGTTTATGAAGTTGCCCTTTTCTGTACCAAAGAAAAAGGATTAAGGAATTTGTTACTTTTCTATATTTCAACTGGAAGTACATGCAGAGTTTTTACTGTTTTTTTAAGTAATTTTAGATGTTATTTCTCATTTTTTTTCGTGTCTGTATGTTTTTTTTCATGCGTATTGTTCAACACTTTCCTTTTTTTTTTACTGGCTTTTTTTTTTCACCTATCAAAAGTGGTTGAATCAAACAAATGGGGAAAGTGTAAAGCGAAAAGAAAACCTGTTTTTGGCTTGGTCTCACTATCTCAATAAACTGACGCAAAATTTGAATACCACAAAAATCATTGTTGCGTTCTTTTTTGTGACGACCACTTTTTTCTTCTGCTTTTCTTTACTGTAATCCATTTAGAAGATTGAGAGAAAATTTTTGTTTGTCTCTTAGATTTTGGATGGTAATGAGAAGAAAAAGCGAAAATAGAAGGAGCAAAATTTTCAGTTGTTGTTTAAAACCAAATTTTAGTAACTGAACTGCTTCCAGTGTCCGATATTTGTCCTCAGTACGAACGATGTCAGTGATAGGCGGCCACGCCAATATTTTACTTGTGTAGTTTGAAGGCCATTCTAATATATTAGGAATCTCTGCGCATTCTTTTGACCACTTTTTTCCTTTCAAAAGTAATTAAAATTGAATACAAAAAAAAAAAAAGAGAAGAGAAACAAATATTAGAAAAATTTTTCAATTTTCTAATATTTTTTCAGTTTTTTCAAATTATTTGTTGTTTCAATAGTTCATTTATTCTGCTTTTTTTTTTTTTGTCTAAAATGTAATTGTTAACTATTTTCAGGCTTCGCCTAATCAATGATGAATTTAGTGTGATAATTTGATTTGCATCAACAGCTGGTTATTTTTTTATTGGTAAGGGAAAAGAGTAACAATAATAATAATTATAATTATAATAATATTAATAATAACAATAATAATAATAACAATAATAATAATAATAATAATAATAATAGTAATAATAATAAGAATAATAATAATGACAATGATAATAATAGATTTTCCATGGCGTTTTCCTGAAAAAAAAAAATCATATTTTTTTTTTCAAATTTATGCCTTTATTCTTTTTCCTTTCTTTTTTGGTCTAATATTACAGATGAATTGAATGGGTTGGATGGTAGATGAATCAGTAAGTGAATTTTGTGGTTGGTCTTTTAGGTTTTTAGGGTTGACCTGTATTTTTTTATATAATCCTTTTTCTGACCCTTCTCTATCTGTCTCTCTGTCTCCCTCTCTGCCTGTCTGTCCGCCCGTCTGTCTGCTTGCCAGTCAGTTTCCTGTCTCCATGTTTCTCAAAGTTTTATTGTCGCCTATTGCCTCCTTATCACTCAGATCGATCATATTGTATATATTCCTCTTCAAAATTTACAAATAACGTCTACACATGTTGGCAATTACAATCTAAGGCTTCGTTGATTTTAATATTAAACTTTTTTTTTGATAGAAAGTGATATATATTTTCGTTCTATTGGAATACTGACTGATTTTCAAAAGAAATTCGCAAGACGGCAGAACATGTTCACTAAATACTGCGCTCAACATGGGGAACAATATTTGTCGATGCCGAGTTCAAAAAGTTTTGGGAGTAATTGCAATCGATTTATAGAGACACTGAGGCTACAGCTTGAAAAAAGTTTACAGTTGTTTAGACAGTTTACTGATATCTGTTTTGATATTTTTCGAGCTTCTTTTTTGTTCTGAGTGCAAATTTTTGGTATCAGTAAACGGGGCGGGCGAAAAGCAGCCTTATCTATATAGGCAAAAATGGAAATCACAAAAGGACAATATCGGTGTATCTATTTTGAATAGTTATTGAAAAGTACTTGGAAAACAATATTTTTTATATTAAAATACTTAGTCTGCTTTTTCATCTTCTATTATATACATATTTTTTTCTCCACCTCTTTTAACAGCTTTAGCTGTGCTATTAAAATTTCTGTATGTTTCAGGCAAGAACTAAAAGCTTAATTTTTTTTGAAAGTTATTTTTCAACATGTATTTGGCGATTTTATACGCTCGAAACTTTTTTTTTCTGCATTATTTAAGCGTAGAAAAATACTTTTCCCATTTTTCCTATATTTCGTTTTGCTATTTTGCTCACCTAAAAATGTTTCTCCTGAAGAATAAATGTAGTATAAAAGGTTTTTCTCATATGACATTTGTTTTTTTTAAATGTATTTTTTAAAAAAAACTGGCATTATATGAACCTGATAAAGTGATTTTTTCTTTTTAATTTCTCAAAATTTTTTGTAAGGCGATAGCAACCGATTTATCAGTTTTTATTTCTGCTGTATATTATTGATGGTATATTATTGATGATTAGTTTCTTTTGTTGTTTTTTTTATCTAACTAAAAAAATAAAGCACATCTAGCTGTAAAATTTTGTTCCATCATCATTATCCTTCTACTGACTGTACTGGACGGAGCTGCCAGCCAACTGTTCCAAAGTCACGTTGAATTCTTTGTGGATAAGCAATAGCCGCGATGCTGCGGCATTCGAGAGCCTTCAACGAACTGTTCCATCGTTAGGAGCTTCAGGGTTTCTGATGCTTTTCTTGTAGTAGATAGCAGAAAATTGTTTATTGAAATTAAGTCCTTAAACTGTCTTTGAATCCTGTATAGTTTTCAATATAACTCCTGGTCTCTAAAATCGTTGAGATATCGATTTCTGATATAAACTTACGTATTGGAAAGTGGCTAAGGCTGGCTTTGGTGGTTTATATTGCAACCACAGACCTCACTGAACATTTCTCAGATTTTAGTTAGGTGTTATATTGTTCCTTTAGTTGCTTTATGGAGGCCAACACTACGCTGTCGCTTTTGCATGTATACGTTTTTTTTTGAACGATTGAACCATAATTGT